TAAATGAACTAGAACACTTGGAATGGGCTTAAGGATAAGGTCTACTGGAAAGGTTTTGGCCCAATTTGGAAAATTAGGCCATAAATGGGCCATAATTGGGCCTTGGTGATTATGAGATATTGGACCATCACAACGTCAAGTGTTGGACCAGGAATAAATGGTTGGGCCTTAAGGCAAGACCATGTACTTGTAGAGGTTTGGGCCCAATTTGGAAAATTGGGCCATAGTTAAGCCTTGGTTCATTTTTAGACTTTAGGCCTTTGGATTGGGCCTTGGACTTGAATCAAGCTAAGTTAGGGGTAAAGTAGTCTTTTACCCTAAGCATGGACTTATGGATATGTGTTGGGACCCAATTATTAATTGGGTGTTATTTTGATGTTGACTGATTCAGGAATCTATCATCCAACAACTAGGGTTTTGTTAATGGGACTTCAACAGTGTGAGGTGAGTCTTCCTTCAGTAGGAACGGGTCTAAGGCACCAAGGCTGGCCCGTGTATGTGATATATTAGTAGTTGAGTGTGGGCGGGGACCAAGTCTCATAATAGTCGAGTGTGGGCGGGGCCCGAATCTCGCAGTATTGTTTGCGTATAGTGATGTGATTGTTTGTTAGATATACTTGTTGTTTGTGTGATACATGTATGCATGTTAGTAGTGGAGTGTGGTCAGGGCCCGAATCTCCTAGACAGCAGAGTGTGGGCGAGACCCGAATCTCCTAGACAACAGAGTGTGGGCGGGGCCCAAATCTCCATGAGAGTGGGCGGGGCCCGTATCTCCTAGTTGCATGTTATTTGTATGATATGTGGTAGTTTGGGGAGAATCACTAAGCTTCGTGCTTATAGTTTTTAGTTTTTGGTTTCAGGTATTTCCACTAGCAAGGGAAAGAGTCCGGGATGACTGCATGGCACACACACAACTTTTAGTCTGGGATGATTTACTCTGATGTTTTGACATGACTTTGATATATTGACAGGTAATTATAACCTTTATGAGACACACGATGTTTATGGTTTTTATATGATGTATGATACTCATAGTATTTATTTATGAATTAAAACAAAAAATTTGGACTGCATTTTTGGGATGTTACATAGTAACTCTTAAAACTTAATGTTAATTGATTTTCACAAGATTACATGCTTCATTGGTTTTCTGACTTTAATTAAGAAAATGTGTTTGGAGCTCCTCTAATCATTTTAATAACAAAGAAGAGTTGAGGTAATTTGTGCTTATGAATTGTTATAGCCAAGTTAAATTTATTTATAAGTGTTGTTCCATTTAGTCTAATGATAAGTCAACTATGTCATCCATGTGGTGTATTCCAAAATCAACCGATTTTACTTCATTAAACTTAATCAAATCATCTATTTCTTTACTTGTCATATTTACATTATAGCTTAGTTTTAATTTTCTCAAACAATCAAAAAGATTTATCCCCCTCCCATTTTACTTTTACTCTTGTTTTACAAGTACTTGAACAAGTGATTTACATAGAGATTTAAATTGAACCAATATCGGTGGATACAATCCCTTTACTATTATATACTATTTTAGTGTAAAATATTAGGGTTATTAATTTTATTGGCGTCGACAACACCAATGACCCTGTATCACTTGGTAAGGTCCACCAAATGTTCCATATGGCATAATGGACTGGGAGTAGTCTAGTTTTTTCCTAGAAGATCTAACATCTTTTACCTTCTTTTTGTTCCTATCTAGTTCAAGGGACACATCATTAACCAACTCCTCAAAAATAATCTTTGCTGGGGATAAAAAATAATTGTTAACCCTTGTATGCCCATGCTTTATGTAGATACTTAATAGGTTTTTTTTTTCCCACATAATTTGACAATACATGCACATCCCCATCATTTCCTAGAGGTAAGATACCAAAGTCCAACTCTCCTTTTGGAATAAGAAAATGATAATACAAAGTTTTCCCTTCTGCATACCCTATTTCTTGAACCATTGTATTCAACTCATGCACGGAGAAAACGTCAATATCTACGAAGTCAACATAGTCTATTGTTCCATCTACGTACCTTCTTCCAGGTTTTTTTGTGTGAATATCCCACCGTGATGAATTTTCAGTATGAAGTAGTTGCTTATTCCCTCTGAAACAAAGAATAACAAAAAAAAAAAATCAACTATTTGGGCGTAATTTCAAATCGACAAAATCTATGACCACGTTAGTAAGTCACTTATGGTATAACCTTTCCAAATCATAGTTTGATGTTTTCGTGTGTTTGGAACGAACTGGCCATAATGTTAACACCATTATCGTTTTCAATCGAACTGGAGGATGATCCTTACATTGTGTTGTGTTGGAGAAGACGATGATGAATGCGAAAGGATAATGGGTAGCTGGGGAAGATGATCTTTGTACTTAATTGCAAAGATCATGTGTATATTATGTGCATAATGAAGGATTATTACAGTGACTACTATGTGAAAAGCTAAAACTACCCTGCACTAACGGTACAAAAGTGACGGGGTTAGGGTCAAAGACCAATCGCGCAAAAACCGAAACCATAAGGAACAGTGGCGTGACTTTTTGCTACGAAGTCCTCAAAGTGCGATAATATTCTGTAAACCACATGGACCAATTGTGAAATTTTGTCTTGAATGATTGATGAAATGGACACATGTAATTGAATGTTTAGTGATTTGATTTAATTGTGAAATTCAAGTTATGATGCCTTGATTTTATGTCTAAACACTTAACTAAGTAGTTTTTGGATGATACTTCTTGTATTGAGAATTCCATGAAAATGAAGTAGTTACCAACGAACCAAACATGGAACCATTGCACATATTGACCTGGTTCGAAGTAATATCTTTCTTATAGCTCCATATAACCCATGTATGAAGTAACAATGACTAGATCAAACTAGTTCTTATGCAAAAAGGTTGGGGATATGTACCAACTAGTATGCAGTTACCAAGTTAAGTACATCTCTACATACATGTTAAAGGCTGGGGCATATTAGATTTAGGAAGAAATGGGCCAAATTATATATGGGCATAAATAAAAAGAAATGACTCGTCTCATATAAAATCTTTTGCCATCTCCAACAATAAAATGATTGCAATATCTATAAATGCCCATTTTTCTACATTCAATACTTCATATTTAAGAGTCCACGCTTTCTTCATGTAGGTATCCCTAAACATATCATCTAAAGGTGTTGTTTAATAAAAAACATTTTTGGTATGTTACATGCGTGGAATCTTAGAAACATAATAATAAAGTGTGAAAATTTAATAACATATTATGATTATTTGAAACAATTTTGACAAATATCCACTATACAAAAATACTTATGGCTTATTAAGAAACATATCACAGTTCACAAAAAATAGAAAAAATGAATATTTAATAAAATGCGTTGGATTCATGAGTTTTTTTAGAACAAAATGAAGCACCGTGTTTAAAACTTTATATTATAAAACCCATTATAATTTAATGGTTTATTTACTTGAAGATTTTTTTCTATTTAACTTAAAAGTTTAATTTTTTAAACCCTCTTTAGCAGGAAATATAACATCACAACAATTATTTGTCATACACAATTTGTTGTGCTTTATGGAGTTATACAATACAAATATATAACACATAAATTGTTATGTATGACTAAAAATTCTTTAAAAAAAATAACAAACTTGAAACTTCCATTGGTAAAATTAGAATATATATATTTTTTCAATGATTAACAAAAATCTGTTTAATTTATTATTATTTCTAAATTAACTTATAAGTAATCTGGTTTAGTATTTGGTATTTATCCTAACATATGATTATCTGTAATTTGAATATTATTTTTAATATATACTTAAAAAGGATAATTATGTTATTTATCTTTTTAACGAAAGTCTTTGTTTTCTTCATATTTTTTAAATTTAATTAATTGAACCTAATTCCGATAATTTCGTATCATAAAATTATTTTGCAAAGTAATCCATATCCATACACTTGAATAAACTTTCACCATCAAATTTCTTCATCACGAAGCAAGTTTTCAACCATGAGAATAATATTAATAATAAATTTAACAAGAAAAAGAACTTTGAGTTTGACCACACTTCTGTTTAACCGGTCACCGGTAAAACCCACCGCAAATAGTCAGAAAATCCCGGCTCCCTTCAGAGAAAGAAGCAGTAAAACTATACCAGCCAGACACGTGTCGGTTTATCCTCTTCTAGTCGTAGTAATACATTTTTCCATATTCCCCCTTCCCCACACTCTCTCTCTAGAGATAACCCTTCTCTCTCTAAAAAGTCCATCTCGCTCCCCTGAAACCCCATCGACAGATTCGTTCGACTCGACTCGGATCGGATTTCCGTTCGATTCTTGTTATCTATCATACTATCTCATAACGGTTGTGTTCCACATTCACGGCGATTGACCGACGTTCAAAGCGTTGTGATTATCTCGACAGACGACGACACCCTATCCATCGTTCCTTTCAATTCTATCGATTGCCTTTGTTCTGAGCAAAATCGTAGGTTTTCTGATATAAATCAGGTCATATTCTTCCACTCGTTGATTCTTTTATATTTGTTTCTTTGGTTAGGTGGATTAGGTCTTAATTTCGAATACTAGGGCATTATTATTCATTGATTCTTTAATTGTATAGTGATTATCGTGTTCGGTTTTCCTTTCTGCGGTCTTCTCTCTATATCTCGTAGTTGATATATATTCGTATAGGTAGTGGTTCCAACAAGAAACTCCGTGAGATTTTTCGGTGCGTTATTTTAGTTTGCCCCCAAAATTGAGGGTTTTCTTGTCTGAGATTTGTTCGTCTTTTTCTAGGTCTAGGTAATCTGTAATCATCGAAACAAAGAAAAAAAGCAAAAAAATCTACAGAAGAAAAAAAGATCACGTAATATTCCTGTTTTGATTTTGATTTGGCGATTTAGCTGAATCTGGGGTTTCCTTCGAAGTACCTTTTTCAGTTTCGTGTCTCCGGGAAAATATAAATTTCTTTTAGGTGTACACAAAATGGCTCTGAACTATTCTCAGCGGCCAGTTTTTCCTGCTCATACATCCGAAGACAATCTGATTTCACCCTTGAGGATCGTGAATGGGTATGTCGTGGAAGGCATGTCAGACAGAGGGGGAGAAAGCTTCGTGAAGCCTAGACATGGTAATGGAGAGATCCATGATCGTTTTGGTGGTTCACCAGATCCAGTTTCTACAGACATAATCGACTTATTACCTTCAGATCCATTTGGTATGGAGATCGATATCAGCACAACTTTCACAGCCATCACCGGGTGGCTTGAAGATTTTGAAGTGGACTACGTGCAATATGTCAGAAACAACATTGCCAACACAAATGAAGATTACAGATTATATGCAGGTCTCAATCTGATCTGGAACAGTGCCCTGAGGTTTCAATCGTTTCCAAGCAATGAATCACCTGATGATAAAGGTGGTGCTAGTTTCATGGATGATGAAGACGCCACAACATCCAATAACGAAGGAGGAGACCCTCATGAAGCGTTTGTTCTTGCTCTCACTTATCTTGGAACAAAAGATCTTCTTTTACTCGAATGTGTTTGTAAAACTTTATCTTCTACAATACGTAGCGATTCGTTATTATGGAGAACCATTCACATTGATCAGCCATTAAGTGAGAAGATCACCGATGATATTCTTGTCCAATTAACCAACAGATCAGAAGGTAATCTCAGATGTTTAACTCTTATAAAATGCCCAAGAATCACAGATGATGGATTGAAGCGTGTTTTGGAAACCAACCCAAAGTTGACGAAATTGTCTGTTCCTGGATGTACAAGATTAAGCATCGATGGTATTTTGAATAACTTGAAGGCTTTCAAGCTGTCAGGGACAGGTGGCACTTCGGGTATCAAACACATAAGAACAGGTGGGTTTTATGGGATAACATATGAGCACTTCAAAGAGTTGAAGCTTTTGTTGGGTAGTGATGACAACAACATTCAGAAAAATGATTATCTTCCTCATTATTATCATCGTGGGAATCTGTATCTACCAGATGATGAACGTGATATAGACGTTGAAGTATGTCCAAGGTGTCAGAATTTGAGGCTTGTGTATGATTGTCCAGCTGAAGGGTGTTTTGGGAAAGATCAATGTAGGGCTTGTATAATTTGCATACCTCGATGTGCTCAATGTGGTCGTTGTGTGCATAACAGTGAATACGAAGAAACGTTTTCTTTGGAGTATCTTTGTTCTGGGTGCTTGAAGGAGATGCCACGGTGTCAAAAGGTGCAACAGATGGATGTTGATGTTTTTTGACGTGCTGGTGCCACGTCACACGGTATGACGTTGCTTGCTCCTATGTGGTGGAGTTTTTCGTCCTCTTCAACATCTTTTAGAAATGGATATAGTTTGGTTTATGGAAGGCCCCTGGGGTTTTCGTGTTTTTTTTTTCTTGAAGGGTGATGAGAAAATTGGAAAAGGAAAAGTTAAAAAAAGAAGTCAGATAGATAGAACACGTGCGCAATGGATGTGACTTCTTGTTGACGTGGTGCTGTCGGGTACGGGTGTAATTGGTGAAATCTCAACGGTTATAATTGGAGGAATGGAAGGAGGTGTGTAAATGGTCAAAGTTTTGACCATGTGGGTTCGTGATGGTTTGATGAGGGGTAGACACGTGCTGTGGAGTTGGGTGGGTGGAGCGGGTCGGATATTGGTGTGTTGACTGCCTGGGTTACACGTGTATTAATCTGATTCTGCATGTTGCATTTGATGGGTTTTGGGTTTTGACCCGTCTGTGGTGTTTGGCTGGATCTTTACGTGGATTCAGATACGATGTCGTTGTTCTTTGGACTCTTGTATTTTCATTTGATGTTTTCTTATTTCCTTTTGTTACAAAATGTATTAATTGTTAAGATGTCATGTTTGTGGTGTGTACCGTGTTTTCTTTTGTTAAAAAAATGTTTATTAATGGTTAAAATGTCATGTTTGTGGTGTACCAACTGTGACTCGAATCGAGATTTTATAAACTTAAACTCGACTTGATACATGTTTTAAGCTCATAATACCATATATTTGAATGAAGTGGTTATATGTGGCTACCTTCTGTACTCTAACTCAACTCATTCTACTTTTGTTTGTGCTCAAACTCGAAATCTTTTGATTGATGCCGAAAGTGGCTTGTTCAAGGTAGACATCGGTTGTCTATTAAAATGTACAAAGTGTTTTACGACATAAAGTATTTTTTACATGTAAGAAAGAAGCGGATGGAACTAAATTTGATCATTTATTTGATAACTATAATTGACAAATGCTTCAAAAACATCATTCATTTTTCTGTGCTTATGTGGGCATATAGATTTTTTTATAGAATCAAGGTCACGATTAATCACTGAACATTTTAAATGATTATTTCCTCACTCGATTTCTTTTTAGTTTTTTAAAAGGCAACTAAAATGTGTTAGTTTTTGTCAAAGTGGTTACCATCCGCAACAACCCATAACTTTTTATAATCTATGGTCGCTGAACTTTTTTTTTAATAGTGCTAATTTGGTCTTTTATATGTTTTTTTTTTTTTTTTTCTCATAATTCGTTTTTACAACTTTATTTTTATATGTTTTTTCACAACTCAATTTTGTAATTTAATTTTTAAAATTTAAAAGGAGTTAAGTATCCAAATAAACACAATTCAAAAAATTTAGCGTTAATTATGACCTTAAGTCCTTAACCCCATGAACATGTATGCATATCTGTTGCTATTTTTACGGACAACTGGGCTTTGCCGTATTTCCTAATTCCTAATTTCCTACGAAGATTCTTCATCCTCTCAAATCATTATTTCCCCTCCCCCGTCTTCTAGTTAAATAGAGAATTTGTTGAGTTATGGAGTTTGAAAAGCCTCGAGCCTTACTGCTGCTATTGAGACTTAGCTATGGGGTTCTGATAAGTGTTGGCCTCCAAAAACCTATTCGTAATGGGTCTGTCGATCGAACACAACACAAAATGAAATAGAGATCAAAATTGAAATTTAAATTTGTGTCTAAGTGTAAAAAACATAAAATCTTGTTGTGTGGTGTTTGGGTTCAAAATCCCACAAAAAAAGTGACACTATATTGCCATATCCATTTATGGTCAAAATCCAACATCAAAATTCATCATGTATAAAAAGAATTTCAAGAAATACTAGAAACGAATATAATATAAGTTTATTATAAATAACAAATACCACCAAACCGATTGCATTGTTACATAAATTCAACATTCCCTCCAATTTCTCTACACAAAAGCTTCGACTCACCAGCCAACTTCAAGCTCTTATGAATCACCAATCCCGTTAACTTATGCGTTGATTCCGGTTCATATTTCTTAGCCTCCTCTTCACTCCCCATCACCAAAGCCTCCCTAGCCGGAATCACATTTTCCCACCAAAACTCACGTAATACACCATGTATCAAATTCCAATAATCTTGATCTCTACATATACGAAAAATCGTACTTCCATTTATCGTCCAACAATACAAATCAACCCAATCTCTATCCATAACCTCCATCTGACCCTGAATCTGAGGCATATAATAAAAAGGCATACTCGACCACGGAATCGCTGATTCCGGTTTCCCTTTGTTAAACGGGCATTTCACTTCGAGAATCCCGGCATTTGGATAACACCCGAGAAGCCCATCTGGTGATGCACCGATCCAATCGAATTTATCTTCCGAATGTGTCGCGAACCCTAATGAACTCACTTCACGTCCGGTTATTGTTTTGTATTTTTCAATGGCGATTGATTCATTCACAACACCCCATTCCATGGCTTGTTTTGAAGCGAGTGTGATGTTTGATTCTGTATCTAAAGGGAAGACTTTTTCATGCCAAAGTTCGGATCTTCTTTTGCCTTTCCATAAACCGAGAGCAGTGCTGAAGGTGCTGGTGGTTAATCGGTCTTTTCTGAGGGCAAACCATTCTTTGGAACGTTGGGCAGGGGAAGGGGAGTTTGATGGGGTGAGTTGACAAGTCAAAGTTAGCCATTGTTGTGGGTTGTAGGGTAGAGAGGTTGATGATGGTGATGCGCAGGTGGGAAATGGTCGGAAGAAATTGGACTGGAATTTCATTCTCTTGGGAAGTATGTGGAGTCTAGTGACACAGGCGTTGGTCATTTTGGAAGTCTAGAAAAACGAGGAACGGATTAATAGAAATTAAAAACCAAATCAAACAGGTGAATCAAGATTTTAAACATATGTAAATAGAGAAATGAAGAGGTACGTCAGTTTAGGGATACGAACCCTAAAAACGTTTAACATTAGTAGCTTGGAGTTGCTTGAAGATTTGAGATGAAGCGTAATGTGGAAAATCCATGGAAACTTTTCCAGTTAAGAGGAGAAATTAGGGTCTCCAATTGAGTTTTAACAGAGTGTAATAAGCAGAGCTGGTGGCTAAACTGTTTTGATATAGAATTATTGCTCAATAATAGGGAACTTCATTATTCAATAACCCTAAAAACTTTAAAACGGGAAACTTGCGATTGCTTCAAAAGTTGAGATGAATCTTTATGAGAAACCCCATTGAAGTATTGCTCAAGTATAAGAATTTCAATATTTTGAGTATACAGGAACCCAAAAATTTGGCAGAGATGGATGACTATCCTGTTTTAGCATAAGAGAATGAAGATGAAGACATACCCAATTTACTTTAGAGGCCGGTGGTTTGCAATGTTGAATATGTAGTAAAACCCGGATCTTTTTGGTGATGGATTGCTAGGGTTTATTATCAGTTTTGTTGAACGAAGAAGAGAGATAGAGGGTTCAATAGTCCATTTACATGTTGGAGCCTTCTAATCCGACTCTTTCCCCTGATTTTTATGAAAGGCTTGATTTTTTTTTTCCGTATACAAATACTTGTAAATCCTAGGTGTGATTAAGTTTAGTCTTTCTTGATTTTAAAAATATTTTGAAATTTTTTAATAAGGTTATTGTTACTGTAACCCAACAATCTTTGGTATAATCGTTTAAATAATCTCTCTGTGATTTTATTTTTGCCTTTAAAGGATATTAACTTGTATTTTACTAGTCATTTTGGTACTTTTTACCCACATTAGAAGGTAGCATTGTTTGGTCAAGTGCCAAGTAAGCATGTATCCTCAGAATCTTGAAAACCTGCAACAACTACAATCAAACATGGTGTCATACTCCTTTAAAAATCTATAACCACATGTCAATCAATCAAACCCAAATTCATATTCCTTATTTTCATCATCAAATCATCAGCTCCATCTATGTACCCATCACTCGAGACTAAAGATATCGCTGAGAAACTGCTCCAAGACAATATTCAAAGCCATTAACAATTCAGTCGCTGCTTCCAGATCCCAATTCGAATATGCCATTTCAGTAATCATGAACTTTACCAGACTTCGAATCGCTTTCATGGTGTGCTTGAGAGCTAATACGAAATCAGTTAGAGTCAATTTTGTGAAATGAAGGTTTTCGTGACGCGATAAAGGACCACTCAAATTCAATTGCCTCTCGGTCAATTTGTTCTCCCTTTCATCTTCCTCCAATTTCTCCTTCAAAAACACAATCTCAAAATCCTTGAGTCGACTCTGGTTTGTTAGCTTCTTTCGTGTTAATAACCCACATCTCTTACCTCTTTGCTCGTCTGCAAATCACTGACAATATAACGAACAATCTCGTCCCCTTCCCACCGATTCAAATGCCCCCTATAACAAAACATAGATTCAAAGCCACAAAACTATTAATTAGACCCAACCTTCACACTTCAATACCTCAATTTCATCTCTAGAGTCATCAATTTCAAAATCAGAACTCAACAATCGGTTACAAAGATGGAACGAACTTCTTCAAACATTTCACAGGAAAATGACTTACAAAACGGAAACGAAGAGAAGAGAAGCATGGAAGAGACGGAGTTGGAGTCGGTTGCGAGGTTATTCGAGAGCAGGAAGGTTCTGCCAAGGTAGAACCAGCTTAAACTTCGTGCTTTTGTCTTGAGTTTTATTTTGGGGATTCTGTTCACATGCATCGTTATGAAGCTTAATCTCATAGCCGGAACTATAAACTTCCGACCACAGAAAATGTTGTTTCATAGTATATCAAGGAGTAAGAGAACCAGAGCACCATCAAATAACAACTGAACATCAACACCACCGGTACCTACCACTTCTACCACTCCGACCTCTAAAACATCCAAAATGAAGATAGAGAATTACACGTCGACTACTTCTTCATCCTGCGACACAACGTCGGAAAATCGGCGCTATTATGTGTTGCACTCACTGCGCATCAAAGAAGACGCCACAATGAAGAAAGGGTCTGCTAGGATCAATATGTAACGCTTGTTAGGGTTTGTGAAACATCCCAAAAATATAGTCCAAAAAATTCATTTAAAATCATTTAAGAAAAAACCATAATTCATGAAACAACATAATAAAATCCCATATCGTGTATCTCAAACATCATATCAAAATAATGTATCAAAACCATGTATCAAAATATCAAAGTCTAAAATATCCCGGGATGAAAATTGTGGTGTGTGTCATGCAGTCATCCCGAGCTCTTCCCCTTGCTACCAGAAGTACCTGAAACCAAAATTGAAAACTGTAAGCACGAAGCTTAGTGAGTCTCCCCAAACTACCACATATCATACACATAATCACATAATAGCATACAGTGGGTCTTGCTCACTACATCGGGCCCCACCCGATATCGGACAAACCCGACATCGGCCCCCACCCAACATCGAACCGAAGTCTGGCATTGGGCTCCGCCTGGCATCGGAACAAAGTCTGGTATACATATAACATAACAACAAGCATATAACATAAACACATAACATAAAACATATAAACCTTCCTCGGGCTTGCCCCGGCATCAGACTGAAGTCCGGAACACATAACATATAATATATAAGCTAAACCTTCCCCGGGTTTGCCCCGACATCGGACCGAAGTCCGCAACACATAAACAAACACATGCAAGAATTATAAAGACATCAAGCATACAAACATTCCTCGGGCTTGCCTCGGCATCATACCGGAGTCCGGAAACATATAATCTACATTAGGCTATCCCCGACATTGGACCTAAGTCCGACATAAGCTATCATACATAAACGGGCCGACATTAATGTCTTCGACCCATTCCTACTGCAGGAAAACTCAACTCTCAAACTGGTTGTTGATATCTCTAGTGAGGAATCTCCGATGGCCGCTCCAATGACTCCCTAGCTATAAATTCACACGGAACACTTAGTCAAAAACTGAAAATCCTTCTAAGGTTAAAATGACCATTTTACCCCTGGTCAAAGTCAACGCTCTGGTCCAGTCAAAGTCAAGGTCAACTTCCAGGTGACCCAACTCGTGGAGTTACCTCCTAACTCATCGAGTTCCTGTGCTTTTTAGACTCATGATAAACCGAGTCAACTCGTTGAGTGTTGGATTAGGTGTCTAAGCCTATAACTATTATTGGTATGCACTTGACCTGAGAGTAGCATGGTCTATTTGGGTTGCATATCACCATGACAATTTGATAGGATAAACTTTTGAGAAGAGGTTATTTATGATTTGTTAATACATTATAAGTTTTAATATATTAATATGGAATCATATCATTTAATTAGTATTGATCAATAATTAATTTGGAATTAATTATGTGATCAAAATAGACATATTAAATATAAGGGGTTGATTGGTAAATCATTCATTCTTATGGTGTGGGCCAATGATCCATGATTCCTTAGGTTGGGCTAAACCCATGGATGATCCATGGAGGTTTAAACCCATGGATCCTAAGGAATATGGAAGGTCATAGCTATTAATGTTTACATGGTGTAACCATAATGTGTCACACTATATAAGAAGCCCCTTGGTTGGTGAAATTGCACTAGAGGTTCTTGGAGAGCCATAGAGCCGATTTCTTGTGTGTATCATACTCTCTCAAAAGCTTCCTTTTGTCTTATGTGTATTGTGATTCCATTTGAGGCATTCATACTATTGGTGTTAAGTTCTTAAAGGCCAAACACAACAAGGTTTCCAACTACAACAAAAGGTATGTCATCTAACTAGAACTTTGTAGTTAAGATACTCTATTGCATGCTAGTTAGGATGATACTTTTGAAAATTAAAGTTAGCATGTATATTAGAGAAAACATAGATCCAAAGTATCTAGGGTTGCATGTACACCATAGCAGCGTTAGAATGCTCAAAACCCTTCAGTGGTATCAGAGACTAGGGTTGTTTTCCTATATACTTGATGCAAAATGCTTTAAAATTGATTTTCTACTATTATGGATAGTGGACTCGTCGTGTCCACTGGGGGAATCGTCGAGTCCAAGCACAATTCTGACCATCTCGACGAGTTTGTTCTTGCATTCGACGAGTTGGTGCTCCAGAGTGTAGTTTTTCGAATTTTAAGGCTGGAATTTGACTAGGATCATTACCGAAACTGTTTTTGGATTTATAAGTCTGTATTTGATGTGGTAATGATCATGCTTATTCAATTTATCAGATAATTGTCAAAGTTTCATGTTTTGCATTAGTATATATGATTAGGTTAATTACATGAAATTTGTTTGATATGAATTATCTTGATCATATGAGTTTAATATAGATCATGGACATTATTTAACATGCTTGTTAGTTTATTTGGTGATCTTTATGGCCATTAATGTACTCCATAACTTGTCCTCAAGTTATGGAAGATGAAAAGTTTTTCTTTTAAAGAATTCATTAAACTCATAGGTTATGGTGTTGAAGAGTCTTTTTCCATAAATGTTTTTATGAACTCCATAACCTGTCCTCAAGTTATGGATTTTCAAAAGTCCTTTCATTAAAGCCTATATTAAACTCATATGTTATGGATTCCAAAACTTTTGAAAGTTACAAAACTTTCCCTCAAGTTTTGGAATTTGTAAATGTAAAAGTCTAACCTTAGAAACATTTAGTTCCAAACCCTAGAATTTTAAAAGTTTAAAATTTAACCCTCATACTATTATAATATTATAGGTTTAGTATATATATATATATATATATATATATATATATGTGTGTGTGTGTGTGTGTGTAAAGTCAGTCTTACCATTAGTAGGCCTCATTCACGAAGCCAGTCTATAAGGGGGTATAAGGTTACTGCCTATAAAATGACACTTTAATGAGTGTCCACTCTCACCCACCGCTTCCTTGACTGGTGGAGGGATGTTAGCTGAACGGGTAGGATAGGACATTAATTCTCATTATAAGTATAATGATAAGTATAAAGATAAGTATAAAGTAACTACACTTTATTAAAATTCTCAATCTTAATTACTTTAGGAAAAATGTGAATATGGTGCTAACCCATGAAATTGCACTTTTTACCCTATTAAGTCGTTAGTGGAGTGTGTGTAGTTAACCGGCACACTAATATGGACTGACAGTGCGTGGAAAAGGGTAGCTTGATGTTAATCATAGATCAATGGAGCATATGTGGTTAACCGACACATTGATTAGGTGGTTGTAACATTGAGTATACCAAGCTAATTTGCATGGTTATTCACACCTTTTTTTATGATCCTCGGCATCCCAGTCACAAACTTGAAGGGAACAATCGAGATTTAAACATGTCATTGAAAAGTTCAATGAATCTCAAAAGATCTAGGAATTTCAATTCGCTTAAAACCTAAAGTTTCCCTTTAGTTTTTCATGGTAAAAATTAGTAAATCGTCATTTACCTACCTTCAAATAGTTTACAATCGGATTACGGTATCCGTCTTCCGAATTGTAAATTATTGTGTTGGGTCCTAGCCTTAATATTTAATTTTGGTGTTATATTAAGGACTTAAATCAACTAACTTGAATTTCTCCCTTGTATATGTATGCCTCAGACAACTATGGTCTTCCCAAATCTTCTAGAACAACCTTTCATTCCGAAGATGATGTTCCACGATTGGATCGTGGAAGTGAAAATCATACTTCACTTCCTCCACCTCCTCCAGTTATTCTCCCTGACCCACAAGCTCGAGGACTTGAAAAGTTCAGGATCACTCAATCCCTATTGAATAGTAAAGAAAAGATGGAAGGCCTATATGTACTTGGACATGAAGCTGCATATTGATAAGCTGAGGATGTTGGGTGTCATCTTCCCAAGGAAGTTGGCTATTGACTGGATTCTTCACTGGCTATTGACTGGATTCTTCCTGAGTCATATAGTGAGTTCGTTAAAGACTATTATGTGACAGATCACATCATGACCCTAATTTATCTCACCTATTTGCTAATTGTTGTTGAATCATCAATGATTTGGTGCAATGGTCAAACAAATCTGGCTTGAAGATCTACATCCCAAACTGACATCGACATCCCATAAAAAATTCCTTCTCCTAAAGGAAATGAATTGGCCATGGTCAAAAGTTTTGATCATAATAGAAAGGCCAATTCTAAGACTGTTCCATGTGAGCTTGTATGTTTCTATTGCCAAGGAAAGGGTCATTGGATGCGAAGCTGTCCTGACCTGAGAAGTTTAATCAGATTGTATGGGTCTGATCCAGGTAAGTCTACTGTCTAACTCTATTAAGTTCCTAACTGTTGATTCTTAATACATAATGTGACAAGGTTGCATTTTGATGTTTTGTAGGATCAAGTAAAGGGAAGGAAGGTTAAAAGTAAGAGTATGCTAAATCTGACCACGAAGATGGATTTCGATCGCATGGTTTGAAGATCGGAATTTTGAGCTGTTGCTTAGGAGTTATGATAGATTGCTAGGAAATATGTAATAACATAGTTTTGATTTGTAGTTGCATTG